AGAGATATCAAGAGAGACTTTATTTTATACATTGCTAAAATCCAGAAATATTTATGTTTCCAGCATTCCCCGGTCAAATCATATAAAAAGGGAATATGAGTTTGTTTGCTTATGGCTCCTAGTGATTCCTGATGCCCTGCCTAAATACTCAAACTATTCTTTTAAAAATCTCTTAGTCTTGCCCAGATTTCATGTCAGATCACTTTGGTTAAGGTAGGGAGACTATACTTGCCTCATTTTAAAAATTACTACTACTACAGAAAAGATAGGAGAAAAACAGGAATTGAGATGTTCTTTGTCTCTGCTTCATATTAACTAGTCATATGCCATTTACATCAAAGAGCGGACCTGTGCTTCTCTTACCTTTTTTGCAAGTCTCAGCGCATTGTGGGTTTCAGCTCAAGCTTGCTTCTTATTTATGTCAGTACCACTTTAAAAATAGTTCCTTTCCTTTTGTATGTATTTTTACTGTGCACCCCCTTCTAATTCTGAGTTGATTGGTGAGTTTTTTGTCTAGTCTTTGTAGACACCTCCAATCCTCTCCCCGCGCCATCTCAGATAATGTGAAATTGGCAGAACTTCATTTTTGAGAACCTCAATCTTGTGTTCCCTTTTAGTACCTCACATCCATGGGCTTGGGTCCTGTCCTCACTTTTGAAGCCTATTCTTTAAAAAGCTAGGAATCACATCTGCTGTGTTCCTTGTTCTTCCTGTCTATTTGGCTGGGTTGCTTTCTTTTGAGGCTCCACCACGTCCTCTTTTCTGATCAGTTTCTTCTTGGTCAAATTAGGTTCAGAATATAATTCTACTTATTTCTTATGTCTTCTGGGTGGTAGAATAATTAGCAACGCAATTTTTAAAATTATATGTGCTGCTTTTTAGTTTAATGAGGTTTTTCACTAGATGTTCAGCTAGCAGAAATCTTTTATCATTTTGTGACAGCAGACTCTTAACCAAGAAAGTAAGATAATTTCACCATTACTCAGTAGTCAGGACATCTCACTGGCTTCATATTAAAACTTGCAGGGCATCTCTTTCCCAAAAATCCAAGGAAATCAGTTATTTTCTCTCCTCTTTAAAGATGTTATGACCAGTTACTTTTTAAAAATGTCTTATCCAGCATTTGTTGGTGTTCTTTTTAAAAATATTTTTTTATTGCCGAAACCAGTTTGGCTCAGCGGATAGAGCGTTGGCCTGCGGACTGAGGGGTCCCAGGTTCGATTCTGGTCAAGGGCATGTACCTGGGTTGCGGGCACATCCCCAGTAGGAGGTATGCAGGAGGCGGCTGATCGATGTTTCTCTCTCATCGATGTTTCTGACTCTCTATCTCTCTCCCTTCCTCTCTGTAAAAAATCAATAAAATATATTTTAAAAAATACATTTTTTTATTGATTTTTGAGAAAAAAATCAATAAAAAACATTGATTTGTTATCCCACGTATTTATGGATTCATTGGTTGATTATTGTATGTGCCCTGATCAGGGATCAACCTAACAACGTTGGCATATCCAGACAATGCTCTAACCAGCTCAGCTCCCTAAGCCAGGGCCTTTATGACCAGTTATTTACTGGATTTATTTTTTCTTTTGAAGCTGACCTCAGAATAGAATGTAGTATCTTCAATTCTTGCCCTTTTACAGTATAACTGATATAGTGATACTAAGGGCCCAGTGCACGAACTTGTGCACCTTGAAAGGAACTGTGGCCTGCGAGGCTGCGGTAGGCACAGGGCCGGGTCTCGGCCCATCCTCCGTGCCCCCCTCCCAGGTCCCTCCCACTGCAGCCCCAGGACCCCTGTCTAGCAGGGGGAAGTGGAGAAGCCCTCAGGGGCAATTAGGGCTGGAAGCCACGACTTGCACCCGCTGATGGCGCAGAGCAAATGGGACTGGCGCTGGGCACCAGCAGTGGATGCGAGTCGTGGCTCCGGCACTGGCTGCGGGTGCAAGCAGGGCTGGTGCTAGCAGTGGGTGTGAGTGGTGGCTCCAGCACCAGCAGCAGGTGTGAGTGGGGCCAGCGCCAGCAGCAGGTGCGAGCACTGGGCAGGACCATGGCGCGTGGGAGCAAAGAATTTTCAGTAACCACCAGAGGCTCGCCCCAATGACAGTGACTGGTGCCCTGCCTTGGTCTGGCGCCCCCGCTCACCTGCTCCACCATCTGGCCACGGCTGATGCCTGCCATGTTCCACGCATGCCCCCTGGTGGTCAGCGCACATCATAGCGACTGGTTGTTTGGTTGTTCTGCCGTTCGGTCTATTTGCATATTAGCCTTTTATTATATAGGATTGGCATCTTTTCAGATATTTTCATCATGGTGAAATGAAGGTTATAAAATAGAGAAGTTAGGAGCTCATGACATCTTACTGTCCCCGGTTAGTTTCTAATTTCCTTAGATGCTATGGACACCTGTCTGCTTGCCTCTCTTATTCAAGATAGAGCTCATCTAACCTCTCCCTTTCTGTGCTGTAGGATCTTTTAGAAGAGGGCATTCCACAGCTGGTAGGCCTGAGGGAGAAAATTAAACCATAGTTGTGAATTAGTAGAGACTAGTCAGAGAAGGGTAATTTATATCAGAAGCAGCTCTTCAGGGAATCCCAGTTACTTACAGGGAAGATCACTGTTAGTAATGATTTCTGCTAGGCCTCTACTCCCAGGTATGTATTTCCACTTAGCGATGCATATTTTAAAAATACACAGTACTTAGCCCTTGCTGGTGTGGCTCAGTTGGTAGGAGTGTTGTCCTATTCACCAAAAGGTGGGGAGTGCGTTTGGCTCCTGGTCAGGGTACATACCCAGGTTGTTGTGTTCAAGCCCCTGTCAGGATGCATGCAGGAGGAAACTGATCAATGTTTCTCTCTCACATCGATATTTCTCTCTCACTCTTTATCTCCCTCCCTTCCACCCCTCTCCCTTCCTCTCTCTAAAAATTAATTTAAAAAAATTTAAATATATATATACATACAATTTATCTTTTTAACAGTAAGATTTCTGTATCCTTATCCTCGATTAGAAGTACTATGAGATGTTGAGAATTCCAAAATGATTACAGTGTATTAGGGCTGAGTATTTGGGACAATGAAAATAAACAAAAGTATGAATCATACCAACAAATATCTATCTATCTATCTATCTATCTAAAAGGCTAATATAAAAGGGTCCCCTTGGGAGTTTGAGCAGGAGCCTGGGAGTTCAATCGCTCGCTTGCTATGACATGCTCTGACCACCAGGGGGTGGCACGGAAAGAAGGAAGGTGCTGGCCGGCAGCTGGAAGGAAGGCCTCAGCTGGCAGCTGGAAGGCCCCGATCAGCCTTGATCACTGGCCAGACCTAGGGACTCTACCCAAGCACAAATTTTGTGCATCAGGCCTCTAGTTTACTAATAAGCACATTAAAAAGTTATTCCTTCAAATTGCATATGTTTCACTGAATGAATTAAATACATGAAGGAATCAGAGAATATAATAAAATGCCAAATTATGCATTGTTAGCAACTATTATACATTGTTAGAGTCTACCAGAGTGGGATTTCCTAATCTGCACTCAACTTACCTCTGAGAAGGAGGAGACTTCTCTGTATTTCCAAAATTGTTCCTCGTTGAATTTGTTACTGTTGTGGTATAAGCAGGGGCCTGGAACTGTAGTTACTGGAGACCTTTAGCCTCCACCTATAGGAATGTGGAATTTACAGCAGAGTAAAAGAAATTCAGTGTACCAAGAACATGAGTAATTCAGATATATTTGAGGTTTTTAGATCCTAAATCCTCTGATGAGAAAATATAGTTTTATGTATTGAGTTTAGCTGTACTATTTTGAGTTAATTTTAGGGGTAACTTTAGAATCCATTTTAGAATTCCAGCTTCAAATGATAGTCCTTTGCTTAGTCATGAGGGATTAGGTGTAATGCCACATTATATTGAGAAGTCTAGGAACTGTTGCTATATATTACCCTTGCTAGGCACTGACATTTGAGAAGGAAGAAAAACACTCTACATTCCTAAAGGCTGAGCTGTTGCTATGTTGCAATATCTTATTTTCCTTGATTCCTGGTAATCTTCACTAGCCCTTCCTTTCAAGGAATCATCAAATGTGATGTACTTAAGGATGTATAGCACCTTGGCCCAGTAGTTCAGTTGGTTAGCTCAGTTGGTTAGAGCATTGTCCTGATACGCCAAGGTTGTGAGTTTGATCCCCGGTAAGGGCACATGCAAGAATCAGCCATTCTCCCCCTCCTCCTTTCCCTCCTCCACCTCTCTCAAATCAATAATTTTTTAAAAAATTTAGAAAAAAAAATGTATGGCAATAAAGTCTCCCAAAGACTAACATCTTTTATTGCTCTATAATAAAAGGAATATGTGTGTGTCCTCTCTCTCTCTTTCTCTCTCATGCTCTCTCTTTCTGTAAATATCTAATAACTGAGAGTGCTACTAAGTGACCAACAGGTGGGTAGCATATACCAAGTATATGCTGGACAAAGGGATGATTCATGTCCTGGGTGGGACAGAGCAGGACAGCATGAGATTTCATCACACTACTCAGAATGGTTTGCAACTTGAAATTTAGGAACTGGTTATTTCTGAAAATTTCCATTTAATGTTTTCAGGCTGCATGTGACTGAAACTGTGGATAAAGGGGGACTGCTCAATAAAGATACTGCAGTTGGTGCATTTCAGAGAACAGATATATTACTGAGTGTCCTAAACTGTGACTTTGGAACTCTATATACGATTTTCAGAGCCCTTTTAGAAACACCTGTCTGTGTTCCCTAGAAACACAGTCTGGGCATTTAGGTGGTTTTAACAGTGAATATCTGTCATTACTCACATTGTTGTGGTCAGTGGGATATCACAGCTGGTAATCTGAACTGAATAGTTGGGAAGAAACTCCAAAGAAGTGAGTAATATTTACGGTTTGCCAAAGCAACTTGCAGTTAAATTGCTTCCACAATAAATCTGCTCTTGCACCTTTGTCAGATGTTAACAAAAGTCATTTATGTGCTTTATTTCAGTGATGTCCTTGCCTTGCCCATTTTTAAGCAAGAAGAGTCAAGTCTGCCTCCTGATAATGAGAATAAAATCCTACCTTTTCAGTATGTGCTTTGTGCTGCCACCTCTCCAGCAGTGAAACTCCACGACGAAACCCTGACATATCTCAATCAAGGTTAGATGCATCCTTGTTTGTTAGTATTACTGCACACTTGCTGGATTCATGACATTTAATTAGGTACACTTTATGTAAACAGTGCACCTTTTGGCCCAGCCAGTGTGCTCAGTGGTTGAGCGTCGACCCATGAACCAGGCGGTTGAGGTTCGGTTCCTGGTCAGGCTACATGCCTGGAGTTTCAGGCTCAATGCCAAGTGGGGGGTTGAGAGGGGGAGGCCGATCGGTGATACTCTCTCCCTCTCCCTTCATCTCTCTGAAATCCATATAAATATTTTTTTAAAGTGCACCTTTCTAGGGTAGACTGTCAAAATCCAAGGCTTACTTCAGATATTTGAGTTTTAATGTCATGTGTGATATCTATTAATAGCTTCTTCTGTCTGTGTGCCCATTTTTAGTTTCCATCTCCCTCTTTTTTCTAATCCATGTTCCCTGAACATCCTCATTGGTTACTATTTGAGAAGAATTACCCTACTCAGCATTATTGTTTATCAGTTGTATGGCCTTGGACAAGGTGCATAAACTCTTTTTTTTTTCTTTATTGATTAAAATATTACATATGTGTCCTTATCTCCCCCATTGTCCCCCCACCCCAACCCCGCTCGTGCCCTCAACCCCCTAGTGTCTGTGTCCATTGGTGATGCTTATATGCATGCATACAGATCCTTTAGTTGATCTCTCCCCTCCTTCTCCCCAGCCCCTGCCTTTCCTCTGAGGTTTGACGGTCTGATGGATGCTTCTATGTCTCTGGATCTGTTTTTGTTCATCAGTTTATGTTGTTCATTATATTCCACAAATGAGTGAGATCATGTGATATTTATCTCTCCCTTCCCCCACCAGCCCCTGCCTTTCCTCTGAGGTTTGACGGTCTGATGGATGCTTCTCTGTCTCTGGATCTGTTTTTGTTCATCAGTTTATGTTGTTCATTATGTTCCACAAATGAGTGAGATCATGTGATATTTATCTTTCTCTGACTGGCTTATTTCGCTTAGTATAATGTTCTCCAGGTCCATATTTTTTTAAAAAACCAACCTATTTATTCTATCTCATAAAAAATGTCTGAAGGCATGAGTCTAGGGCTAGCATCTCAGTTCTGCAAAGAAATCAGGGGCCATGCTCTTGCTATTTTTCTGTGACTCCATCCTTAGCAAATGTATCTGTCTAGCTGTTACCTAAAAACCTTAATGACTGGTGCTAGGAGACTGCATTTGGCCTGGGGATGTCTGCTGGATGCCCATAGATTTATGATACTCTAATCCCAGAGCTGGGAGGGCCTTACAAGTCTGTTCTTTACCCATCGTGACTGGTAATATGTCAATCATCTGGGCTGAGTTTATGAAGTGTTTTGGGCATGCATATGTCTGAGTAAATGTGAAACTCCGAAAGAGAGAAAGAATACCCGAGACTCGAGAAATAACATGTACTTTGATTCAG